ATTATTATTATTATTATTATTATTATTATTATTATTATTATTATTATTATTATTATTAAAAGTAGATTTTCCACAGTAATTGACATGGACTGTGTCATCCACCATCAAACAGTTCTTGTCCTCCTCAGATCTACAGCCACAGTCAGTCTTGAAAACCAACGTTGACCACGTGACATTTCCGAGCGTTCCAACAAAAAGACATCATACCAAACAAACAATACATCCATGATTTACTTCCCTCTTGTCAATGGCAGTGTAAAAATAGCCCATGATTGGCTCCACTGACAAACCAAAACAAAACACTGCGTCTCCAACGAGACTGCGGTGTCAAGTGCAACCTCGTGTTCATGATGCACGTAGGCAGGAGGTGGACTGGCTCTGGCGCTACAAGGTAAACATCCTCATGTTGCAGAGAGAGGCTCTAATTCTCGCACTCAGGTTCAGACACACACACACAGACTACAGTGTGTGTGTGTAAAAACAGATGGAGCAACAATGAGAAGTAACAAAAACACAATTTAAGTGTGAGACAGTAGAGCAAGGAGAAACATTTATTATTTTTACTTCTCTCACTGAGTGTAAAACAAGGCCGAGGCCCAGGCAGTGGTTTTATTGTTGTTTTTCTTCTATATCAAGAGAAACATTATGTGAATGTCAGGCTGCAGCAGCAGCACATTTATAGTTCTATAAATAGTGAGGAAAATGTAAAGTTTTAATGTTTGTGTTGAGAATATTCAAAGTTAATTCTAAGGAAATGAGCCTTAAAATTGACCATCATTAATATCTCAGTTACATAGTAATTATATTTCTAAAATTGCAAACAAATCAAAATATTATATATCAGACCAAAATGTAATCTTCTACAATAATCTTTGGAAAACTAAATACTAAAATAAAATATTAAAAGTAAATTAAAACTATTTTTTGCTGTTTGATGGACCTGAGCAGGTCAACAGTCGGTGGTCACTGTTGCCCAATTTTTCATGGACTGCAGGCAGCCAGAGAAGTGTTCATGTTCAGACTCAACAGCCCTAAACTGCAGTAGACACCGTCTGGATTTTGGCTTTAAAGAGGCTTTTCTTTTTTCTTTTACGACATTAGGCCTGTCTGTCTTCCTGTTCCTGCTGTCTGCTGTGTGAGGTTAATCAGTGTGATCACTCTCACCTGTGTCTCTGTGATTAGTCTCACTCCTGTCACCTGGTGCCCTGGGTATCTATACCTCTCTCCAGTACTCTTGGTGGGAGCATTGTTTGTTGGTCAGTTTGTGGGCTGTGGTTGTAGTCTGTTGTTTTGGCACTTTGTAAATAAAGCTGCTGTGCCTGAAGAGAGTATCTTTTGTGCTGCGTTTGGGTCCTGCCTGCTTCCTGTCAGGACAACAGGTGACAGTTTAGTTTTTGTTTTTTAGAAAATGCCCCCAAATAGCTTAAGATATTAAGAAAATGTTCATATCTCTTAAGAAAAGACTCCAGTGAATGGTAACAGTACCAACTATTTCAAACATTGACGTATCCTCAGTTGGCAGCACCCAGCTGCTGATAATGTGCAGAAAAATGTATTCATTTTTTTCCAGCATTAAAATACCAACACCATTATCTGGTCCAATGTTCCAGAAAAGTACAAATTGACTGTAAAGTCAGTGCAGTGGGGCACATCAACACATCATGTGGCGTACTTAAATATGCTAACCTGTTGCTGATTCCCTAAAGGGCCATTATGTGCATTATTCATGTGAGCTGCCGTGTTCTTTCAGGCGTACAGAGGCAGTGTGAAACCCTTCGCCAACTTCAACGACAAACAAGACGCCGAGATCCTCCATCGAGCCATGAAAGGAATAGGTCAGTTTTCCAATAATGGATGGTCTGATTGTTGTTTACCCAAACTCCTGCTGCTGTCACCTACTATCCATCCATCCACTCATCATTACCATTATCCTTCCAGGGATACGGAGGGATCTGGAGTCAATCCCAGTTGTAATAGGCAGGGTTATGCTGTGCACTATCACATGTCCAACATATGAAGACAAACATCTACACTCATAGCTGAGAAAAACTTGTTTGGAAAAAAAAAGGAAGAGCAGCATTTTCAGAGAATAATTTATTTTTATATATTATGTAATTTTTTTTTGACAGGAAAAAGTTTCAGCAAGTGTTTATCAATTAAAACTAAGTTTAAAAGAAAATAAAATTTCTCCAACTTGTTGTTCTGCCTTTGTCGGGAAATCAGCTCCACAGTGGTGACACAGCTGTCAGAAAAACAAAGCTGTGTACATTTTTAATGAGTGAAGTCATTTGGGATAAAGGAAATAATTGTGTGTTTTATCCTGTGTGTGCTCTAATTAGTTCACAACAAAGACTTCTTCCAAGTCTAAGTCAAACAAGGCCAGTTATTTCCACAAAATGCTCAGTCAAAAGCATAATAATTAGATACTGTATCACCATTTAAATAAACATATCTAATGACAGCAGAAGCAGATTGTGCACTGGTTAACTATTTGAAATTTGATGTATATCTTGTGGTAAAGTGCTGATGCAGGTAGAAAAAAGAAAATGAGAATTATTTTCAAGCTTTGTCTTAAATTACACACGCATTCCAATATAAGGAGTAGTATAAGAAGTTTCCATCAATTATTCTGGTATTTATGTTTGTTAGCATCAAGCCTGTAGCTCCCCTTTGTTAACAATTCAAAGTTATTCTCTGTGACACTAATGGAAGTCATTGGTGAAATATAAAGAAAATTACTGGAATAAAAATGTGTGAAGAGAAATATCTGGCCCTCTGATGAACACTAAGACATATAAATATATATATAGTGGTCGTATGAATATCAAGTGCAGTTAACAAAAAGCACTTTGTTCATTGAAGCCGTTTTTGCGGCCTTGTTAAGTCCTTTCAGGAGCTATTGATTAAAGATCATTGGTGGTGTGGATCCTGAGCTCCGTTCAAGCATCAGCTCATCATACCGCAGTTTACTGTGAGCTGTCAGGTCTTATTACAATTTATTTGTCTTTTATTAACTTTTCTAACTGAAGAAAAGAACAGGTAAATTAAAAAGGAGATTTTTTTTTTTATCATCTCTGACCGACGATAACGCTGACATCCTCAGGTTTACCTTCACCATTTATCTTTCTGTGTCATTAAATGTTGTTGTTTGATATGTGATACAGGTACGGATGAAGACGCCATCCTCATGGTCCTGGCAGCGCGCAGCAACGATCAACGCCAGAAAATTAAAGCGGCGTACAAAAAGACCCACGGGAAGGTAAGGTGAGCCGACTGGAATCAAACACAGAGCTGATGACAAGGTGCCGTCGCTCTGATGGATGGTTGTAGCTGCAGGAGGATTAAAAAAACAAACAAAAAAAATTAGTTTTTTTTGTTCATTTTCTTTTTAAAAGTAATATACTATGAGTAATTTCTAGTTCATATAAATTCTATATCAAACCTCTGGCAATTTCTGGTAATTTTTGTACTTAATTTTTAAAAAAAATTAAGTTGTAAAGTATTTTAATAATTTTAAAGTATAGTATTTCTTGTTGAATGTGAATCTTTAACCAAAGCTTTTTATAAGCGATGCACCTATCATTTGACCAGTGATCCAAATTAGATGATTATCAGTATGATTGGTTCTGAAAGGCACCAACAGTCGGCACACAAAGTTCTGGTTTTGCAGCTGATCATTTTGCTCAGGCATTCTATGTGGGAGAGCAGGAAAGGAAGCTCCAAGCCAACACGTTGTTAGCTTGGAGGTAGAGTACCTCACAGTGAGACAAGATAACAAGCCTCCAGACACTAGGTGGCAGCAACTCATACACCGCTTTGTACGGATAAAAATATACACGTTATCAGGTTCTCAATAGTGTTTCAATTTGCGGCGGTGTGGGTCAGTGGTGGGGGTCGGGGTGAAAACATTTCTGTCCCCTAGGGGGGCATGACAGGAAATAATTGATGGAATAACTGCAGGAAAAAACATAATTATTAATTATGATTATTATTAATTAAGATCCAACTTTAAGCTAGTGGTTTGCTCAAGTATGTTAGAAACATTTTGTTTTTTTTTCAATTTTTGCTAATTTGGAATGTGTTAACCGAACAATAAAATAAAATAAAATGTGCTAACACTTTTTTAACTCGGTGAGGAATTGAGGAATGTCTTGGAAACCATTAGAAGGAACCAGATCGTTCCCAGGTTGATAAGCAACTGAAGTGTGAAACTAGCTTCTCCGAGAGCAGCTGCAGAAGAGAACTGATCCTTAATCACTTTTCCATCAATATTTAAAATACACCGATTACATACACATTGATACATTTCTCACAGGAGTCACAGGTCTAAACATGACGCCTGAGTCTGTCTGCCCTCAGAGTGTTTGCAGTTAGCATTAAGATTCAGATATGTCACCTTCATGTCCTATCAAGCTGCCATGTTATTTTATGGTCACCTGTGGAGTAAAAGCTCCAGGTTAATTTGCTCTCTGTGATGTTTGCTTCAAACAGTGTTTGCTAAATGTAAATTCAGGGCATTTAGAGAAATTCTATCAGAGTAGGTTGGTGAGAATCTGTGTGATTTACCAAAAACCAGCTACGAAATGACCCTATTTGGTTTTATCACCATTTTCAGTGGGGCCATAAAATGTAATGAAACACGTCCTCAAACCAAGTGCACCATCGTCTCAGTGCAGGTGTACGAAAAAGTCAGGAGGGAGAGTGACATATTTACATTTTACATTTCTGCCTTTAGCAGACGCGTTTATCCAAAACAACTTACAAGAGGATAATCAACAATCAAGCTTCATGAAGGAACTCCTGTAAGGACACGGCTCTTTAATAAAGTGGGATCTAAAATCTTTCAGAGTGCGGCAGTGAGTTTTAAGCTCTGGCTTCTGCTGAGAAGGCCGCCCACTGGGAGTCAAACACAGGAATAGATCAGAGAGGTCTCTGATTGCTTTCTGCCTTTCTAATGGTCTGTCAGTTTAATGTGTGTTTACAAGTCTGCATTGCAAAAACCTCTCAAAGGAATGTGATTTGATTTGTGTCTTATCAGACGTGAAAAATGGAAATTGGAAAATGAAAATAGAGGAGAATGGTAATGGTTAGAGTGTGTGATGTCATGAGGTTCTGTTAAGGGTGATATATGGTTAGAGGTATGGTGTTCTTATTGCAGGGCTGTAGGTCTCAACTGACCAAACATTGTAGGTCACAGGGACTCCTCACTGTTTTATTTAAAAATAATAATAATTATAGGTAATAATAGTCCCTTATTTGTCCCTAAATGGGGGAATTTACAAGAGGCACCTTTAGGGATGGAATGATTTCCCTGGGAATCAAATCCAGGACTCTGGTTGCAAGGCAGGTGTGCTAACCACCACACTCTGCAACCACTACACAAATGAACCAGACACACACTATGCCATTTTGAAGTTTGTTCTATAAAAGCATTGTACTAGATAACTCCCAATTAGCCAAACAGGTAATCAATAATCTTTATTGCAAGCTAAATGGTAATGTATGCAAGAATTCTGCTCAATAAATAAAACACTCATGAAAAATGAATAACCCCAGTCATTTTAACATGCAGTCAGGTGAAAATATCAGTCTAATACCTAGCAGTAATGTAATTACTGGATGCCAGCATCTGTTTAGACTTGAGTACTAAAAACATATGGGGTGTTTGAGGACTGTGGGGTAAGGATTGGTTTGCAACCAACCTAAAAGCTGATTGGAAATCTAAAAGAATAAATCTTTCAAAAAATTGTTTCATGATGCTTTAGAACACTCGTTCAAGATAATTTAGGATTTAAATTTGGCAAGGTTTTATTTTGTGTGTGATCTGCTATTTACAGTATATGTAGGGCTTTCAAATAATTAAAAGTTTAAAATTTTTGCTTTGTATTACTCATGATTAATTGCAATTAATCAAGTTGACTAAATATGTTTTGTTTCTTTATATTGCTTGACCAGCAGGCAGTAGGTTGATGTGTGTTTCACAATGGATTTTATTACCGACTAGTCTAAATGATGGCATTATTAATATTTAAAAATGTCAAAAAAATAGCACAAAAATACATTTTAGAGCTGAATATAGTTTTATTGTACTGTGTATATTAACAGTTTCTTTCAAAACTTTACTAAAGCCCTTGTCCTCGACTATATTAATCAGTCTACTGTTCCTCAATCCATTTTTGTGAACACATATTTTAAGCTTCTTCAGATTCTTCAGTGAAATGAAATGAAACCTTTGCAGCGTGTGCAAATAACTGTTGTTTCTTTAATGCAACACAATTGAAAGTGAATTGAAATAACAGTAGCTCCTTAACCACCTGTCCAAAACTTTACAAAGGTCAAAGTTGTGCCAAAGCATGCAGCTAAGCCTCTATTAGAAAATAAATCTGTAATATGCTGATTTATTTAAGTTGATGTTCAGCAAAGTACCATACAGTTAATGTTGTTTGTTTTTTTTGTTTTTTTTTTGTTCTCGTCCTGCAATTAATTCCTCCGCGTACGTGCACAGGACTTGGTCAGTGCACTGAAGTCAGAGCTCAGTGGTCTGCTGGAAAAACTCATCGTGGCACTGATGACCCCAGGCATCCTCTATGATGCCACTCAGCTGCACAAGGCAATTAAGGTAAGTGACGACTGTTTCCTCAGATGGTCCTCTTCACATAAAGAGCAGGTCCCATATCCAGATACGGCAAAGTCAGACATTGCTGCGTGGTGTAGACACAGATGTTCCAACATTAAATGACAGCAAATATTCAAGTGAGCAATTGAAATTCATCTTGAGAGGCTCTTTAAACCTGTCGTAAAGCTTTACCTCTGTTGCAAATAATCTAGCAGGCACACGCATCCTGGCACCACAGCCACATAAATGGATCCTAGCCATTATTCATTCTTAAATCTCTGAGTTTAAATGTTTGCTGTAGCAGGGACCTGTTTAATGTTGATAAGCCATTTGACACATGTCCACATGGTTTATCTATGGAGCAAGACTCCAGACATACTCTGAGCCTGAGAGCCTTTGTTCCACCGGAACTCACTCGGCACTTTCTCTGAAGAGTTTCTCCTGAGTTTTTATAGAAATATTAACTAAATGAGTGTTTACAGATATTTGGCCGTCTGGCCAAAACTCAATAACATAGTCTACAAATAATAATAAATGAAATCTCCAAACTGCTCTACTTAGGAGCACTTAGATTCATTCATCCTACACATTATTATAGTTTTTGTCTTAATGTCCGATGTAACACTTCTCAACACAGACTGTGTTAAAAATGAAAAACAACTGTAATAATCCTTGATTACGCTACAGGGCATGTGTGAGAATAAAGAACCCAAATGTAATTTCCCTCAACAAAGCACCAGACCTTTCAAAATGTACCAAACACAATAACAAAAAATAAAAATACACCAGAGAAAAAACATCTTTTAAGCTATAGTAAAGGGGAAAACGTACCATCATTATTACATATTAACAAAAGCTACAAAGAGCTATGGGGTAATTTAAAAGATAGCTGAAAGTTTGAAGTTAGCTAAAGGCTTACATAACATCTTGTTAGATGTTATGTAAGGTTAGCTAACATCAAAGGGAATGATGCTGTCCCAGGACAAATTTTCTTTTACAACACCTAATATCCAAGTGAGTTTAAATCTGCAAAACATACAAACTGTTTGGGTTTGTGTTCTTTGTCTTTTCCAAGTAGAGCTGAGTTCTTCCTTGTTTTTCAACTTTGTCACTTTTTTTTTCACATGTTCTTTAGCAGCTGTGGCCTCTCATTTTGGATTTTCAAGACATGAAAATAATAACCACAAATGTCACGGTTTAAATTTAATCAACAATGGCGAGGACACAAAGCAATTAGTTTAACAAATAAAAGGTTTAAATAATAAGGGAGAGAAGCTTGTCACAATCAGAGCTGTGTGTGTGTGTCTCTTAAAAAACAGATGCTCTCAAAATGTGTCTCTATAAAAAATTAATTCACAGTTTGAATGAGCACAGAACAGACATTAGGGAATCACTCTGCATAATAATGAAACAAAAAAAATTCTAGAATTTTTCTACGAGGACTGTGTTGTTACATTTAATGGGCTGAACTTAACACAGGAGAGAACCTTGTAAAAACCTATCAAGCAGCTACAGCTCAAGAGTCCTGTATAATGAAAACCATCTGTCTTATAGCGTCCCTTTCTTAAATTAGCTGCTCTTACCTTACATTCCATCTCTGCCACAGATGTATCTGCAGTACAAACTGGGGGTCAATAACAGTTTTCATTGGAGACACCCGGGGGAAGTAAACCAAATCATACGCTCTTTTAATCAATGTAACTGATACAACTATCGCAGTCATAAATGATTTAGTAAATGTTTATTTCACTAAATGTTTGTTTAAACAAGCAAACTAAAATGGTGAAGTCAGAATGTGTGATACTGGATGAATACTGAATGCACAAAAATATTTAAAAAAAAATATATGAAAAAATTAAAAATCCAAATTACCAGTAGTAAACTCTAATGTGGTGGAGAAGTACATGAGGGTGGTGTAGGACAGTTACTGTTGGTACTGTAAGGTAGGGTTAATGGTAGTTACTGTTGGTACTGTAAGGTAGGGTAAATGGTGTAACAGTAACAGTCTCCATTTTATCCCAAATGTAAGGTGCCGGAAAAGTAACATTGTTGGTTCCCAGTGGAGACTGCCCATAAAGGGTACTTGGGTGCTGTCTGCTCACCCTTGTATTTTGGAAATAAACAATAATCACTGATTTTGAGTGTTTTTATCACCATAACATATCATGTAAAGATATAAATCACAATTATTGTTGGGGTTGTTTATGTTTTTGTGTAAGAATGTTACATTTTTAATACTCCTGTTGAATTGCTTCCTCACAGTGCATCGACATACTGCTGTTTGTGTTCAGTTGTATTCGGACAGTTACTGTAAGTGGCTTGATGTGGCACACAATGTTTTTTCTCCAGCTGCCACTGTTGATTCCTATGATAAAAACATTTCAGTTCAGAAGCTACTTCTTGGTGAAGAGAGTGATGTGGACTTTTAACACAGTATGTCGATGCATCACAGACCACAGAAAGTGAAAGGGACAGAGCAGCTCCATTACAGGAATGAACACACCAACCTCTCGATCCTGTGTCTGTTGTTAGTTTCTAGCCAAAACTGTTATCAAATACGATTTGGTGACAAGTAGACACTGATGAACAACACTTGGTTGCTCATTTTCTCTAACTACAGGCAGAAGGATTTACTATTATATATACAGTATATATATAATATATATATACTGTATAAGATTAAAATTGTTTTATTTGATTGCCTATTTGTGCTGTTTCCATCTGTAATTCCTCTCATTTGAATATAACTAACGTTGCTCTAATGACTTTAATATAAATTGCAGCATCACTTCATTCATTACGTGATATTTGCTCATTATGTTTGGCTGGTCTGAAAGGTCGCTCTGGACCATTCTAACTACCTTCGCATATTCACCTCTGCAAATGCAACTGGTAAATCAAAGAAAAGCTGCAGGCTAATTACATTGCATTTATCATTGAACACGCTTAAAAAAAGAAATACTCTTTCAGGGCCTTTTCATAAATTGTATTTTTTTTTCAGAATAAAATATGATGAAGTGACATGGATTTTCTATGAGAAACACTGCCATAGAGAACCCAGGGTGTTTCACTCTATATATTTTCTCTGGCTCCCAGGGCGCTGGAACTAATGACGAAGTGCTGATTGAGATCCTGGCCTCCAGGACTGGAGAGGAGATTAAAGAAATCACCAAAGCTTACAAGAAAGGTGAGTTTCACTCAGCTATGAGAGGAGAGCAGATAAAGGAGGAGCTCATGTTTGTCGCTTTTGTTTTTTGGTAATAAATATTTTTAGTTCTTTAACAAAAAAAAAGATTAGATTAAATCATCTAAAGAGCAGGACAACGTTTTGTTACTCTCAGCCCAGTCCAAAAGGTATTTTTTATATAAAAATGTGCTTTGTTGAAGAACTGATGAGATGTGATATATGCTGAACAGATATAATAATAAATATAAAATATGTAACAGCAACAATTTAAAAAGAAAACTTGGGCTTTTCTCTAGTGTACCTGGTATTGTTGCCTCAGGAATCGGTGCAGCAACAAAGCACTCCATGCCTGTAATGACAGAGTCCTGGCACAAAGCTGTAACCAGCGGTGCTTGTTACGGTCCAACATTGGAGATGTGCCTGCTGCTGTGTCCTGGAACCACAAGGGACAGGACAGACATAAACTGTTGTGTTTTTGTATTGTTAAACCATTGAAATGATCACAGTTATGGTTTGAAAGAGAATGAGTGTCAGTTATCAGTGGACTCCTGCAGTGGTCAAAACAACAAAGTTTTCTAAGACTATTTAAAGGAAATGTTCCATTTTTTTTCACAGCTTTGTGTTGGTAAAACGTAAGACAAGACAATAATAATAATAATAATAATAATAATAATAATAATATTTAAAAAGGGAAACCAAAACAGATGACATCTTTGGACCGTTTTTTACAAATACTATGGTCATCGTGCTTTTATTGATGATAAAGGAAGAAACAATTGTGTTCTTACTGAGGCTGGATAAATTCCCCTGAAGAGTCATTTGACCTGGGAGTACAGGCTGATTAAAACAGCCACAGTATTAACACTGGTTGAAATGCCAAATGTTTTCACCCTTCACACTTCACTACATCATCTTTTATATTGACTTCTAAACAGCAACCATCCTCAAGAGAAGGTAGAAAAAGAACCAACCGAGGGGCAGAGACGAGGCCAGTTTATTTGATCTATGGAGAGGAAAGGCCACGGCATCTCTTACCCCACTAATCAAATCTCTGCTGTCAGGAAACAGAGAACAGGCCACCGGGGTAGAATGCAACCATTAGCGAGTGTTGTGACTGAGACGTGTAAAATAATCTTCTGCTGCTCTGCTCTTCTCGTCTTTCCCCGCAGAGTTTGGCAACAAACTGGAGAAAGATATCTGCGGAGACACCTCCGGTCACTATCAGAGGCTCCTGGTGATCCTGCTGCAGGTACGGACCAGTGCTGCAGGAGAAGGGCTAACGCAGGCGTGGGCAAACTTTTGACTCGCGGGCTACCATATGTCCAAAAATCTGACAGCGGGGCTGGGACAGGAGCAGATAGATGGAGCGCTAATGTGAACTAAGATAAATGACATGTAGAAGTCATGCATGAAGGCTAAGATGCTAAGATGCTCTTAGCCTTCTCTACGACCATCTATAAAGAAAACATGGGCATTGCAGGGAAGATGCAGAAGTATAATTGCGATACAAACGTGCAAGTTTGGACAAAGTTGAACCGGCCGCATCCAGTCTGTGGACCTTAGTTTGGCCATGCCTAGGCTAACGTTTCCTTCATGACTTCTGAGAAACCTGTGGTGACACCATTACAAAGTCGTGAAGTTTAGGTGTGAGCTGCGCAACAGGAGGGAGAGGAGGGAGAGGAGGGAGGGCAGAGAGGCCAGAAATGGAGCTAGACACTTGAGTTGCCTTCCATAATGGGTTTTTGCTTCACAGAAACTAAAGTAATGCTCGTGGTGCTTGGATACTTGTTGGGTAATTGAATCTTCAGGGAGGAGAGAGAGGCTCCGTCTTCATCCTCGCTCACATGTTTTGCTTTCTCTTTGTCCAACTGTTTGTCCGTCAGGGATCCAGGGAGGAGGAAATAGATGAGAGCAAGATCGAGAAGGACGCTAAGGTATGAGGCAGAAACACAAACGCAAACACTGTGGAAATTCAAGTGCCGAGTGCTCTAGTCTAGTCTGGGCCAGGTCCTCATCAGCTCAGCCTGAGTCACCAGGCATCACTCACGCTGGCAACAATCTCAGAAATGATTCAAGTAGAACTACAGAAAAAAAGACACAATTCCTGTTTGTTGAATCTATGTTTTGTGAACACTGTCGGTGATTTCGTCATTGACGTGCAGACGGTGAACACTCGTTACTATGCATCTGTTAGATACATTTTTAATCAGGCTGTACTACAGCCCTGTAGCAAATTTTGAATATTCCTAATGAGCTTTAATAAGATTGGAGTTGCACCTGCAGAAATGAGAAGACAAGCAATAATAAGCACTAAAATATATTACTAGTTTTCAACATCTCTGCACCGAGAGATAGTAAACAAAATATGAATCATGTTCACAGGCTGGTTCAGGGGGCAGACTGTTTTCTAACAGACTTTGAATCTCAACTTTTCAACCTGTGTTTTTGAAAGTGTACTTTGCAAATGTCAGTCCTTTTAACAAAATACAACAAAAAGTCTTTTGTGTTCATCTTGAAATTTCAAATTCAATATTAATCCAGCTTCAAGGACAAAAACACTGATGACTTCACATCAATAGTTGCGGCTGTTACAAATGAATAAAAAAAAAGCTGTTTCAATAAATGAAATAGTCTTTGTCTGAATTTGATCCTAATGACATCAGGCTAGGATAATAGCTTTATCTAAAATGTCACTTCATTGGACAGTTGGTCGTATTTGTGAGCTGCTCTTTAAACCACGGTTAAGCAAAAGGCCAAGGAAGCTTCAACCTCTTCTGTGGACAGAATATACTCATTCTTTAAAGAACAGGGACAATATTCTGGGATCTAACAAAAGTGCAACTGTAAGACTTGCTGCTCGACTCTGATTTGATTCACTGGTGGCAGCTCTGCAGCAGTGTTAAAATAATCTGTGAACAAAAAAACCAAACATTAAAAATATCAGTATTTCTGTTCATGATTAGACTCTTCTTAGGTTCTGTCAGTGCATTGTGAACTCCAGTGATCTGACGACAAAGCAAAACACACGGAATGAAAACCCAAAAATTATCCTCGACACTGAAGGAAAAAAAATAATCACGATACAACGCTGCGCGTCAGGATCTGTTACGTCTTTTGTGAAATGAAACATCTGTGCTGTTTAGCCTGTCACGTCAACACAAGGTTACTGTGTGTGTGTGTTTGTTGGCTGTGTAACTGAACGAGTGTCAAACTGCCGTAACAGGACCTGTACGCTGCTGGGGAGGGAAAGTTTGGCACGGACGAGGAAAAATTCATCACCATTCTTGGCAACAGGAGCGTAGAACATCTGCGGAGAGGTGAGTTTCTCTGTGTGATGTTATTAGAACGTTGTGGTTGTTTTCACACAGCTGCTGTGGAGAAAAATGTCATTTATATGACGTTTTAAATGTAGCTTTTGTTTAATAACATTTTAAACTACCTTGGGATAAAGACTGCTTTTTTTGTTGTTGACTTTTCAGCATGTGTAAATGTGTTAATTACAAGTTATGTATAAATAGGTAAATTTTAAAGAGCTCTCAGAAATGATATCAATAAAATAATATAAAAGGTATTTTCTTACGGAAGTCAATAAAAAATTTAATTCTAATAATTAATTATTTATACATAAAAAACTAACATCAGCAGCTGGCATTTTTATATTTCTACTTTTCTTCTACCACACAGTAGCAATAGTAATACATTTACTGCTTTAATATTCCATAACCTCCATGTTTCAACATACATTTTTAAAAAGTGTATAAACAATTATATCTAGTTGCCATACAGTTTTAGAATTACAAAGAAAAATATTAAAATAAAAAAATATTATATATTAAAACGTAACATCTGTCACTGTAAGGTTTTCATAAAAGTTTGAATATAATTTTTATATTAATAATGTATTTTTTGTTTTAATTCCATTAGAAAGAGTTGTGTTACTGCACATCCATAAATAAACTATAGCTAAAATAAGAACGTCAGGTTACAAAGGGAGAGGCCAAACCTGTAGACTTGAAGTCACCATGACTAAAGAAGAAGAAGCTGGGATCACCGGCGTGTGTAGAGTTCATGAAAGCGTCATGAAGCACAGCCTCAACGACAATCTCCAGGGTCAGACTTTCTCACTGTGCAACCTTGGCACAGAGAACATTGACCCCTTGGTTGAAAGCTACAGGCTGAACTCACTGAAAAATTAAAGTGGCGAAAACACCTGAGACCTGACAGGTGAAATGAAAATCAGATGAGAACACGGGCCCTGAAGTGGGAGTCAGTTACAACAAGACCTCGTGAACAAACAGCGTGACGGATCCTATTGTGACGCAGATGGATTTTGCACACCATGGTCTTTGAGAACTGGATTAGGAAAACAGTACTGGGCCTGAGTGTGATAGACACTGTACGAGCTACACACCTGTATTTAGCATTTATATAAAATTTCATTTTAATATTAATAACAACGACAATAATAACAACAACAATAATTATTATATTTTTATATAAAATTGGCTAACAAGCTTTACAAATTGTATAATCAACCGAAAACGTTGTGACCCTCAAAGTATGCGCGTCCATGGAGGTCATATTTACTATGTTTTAATTAAGTATTCATTTCATTTTTAATTAATAAAACACAAAACAACAACTTTTTGAATCCCAAGGAGGAACCAAACCATCATGCGACCATGTTTTTGTTTTTTCTTCTCTTCAGTTTTCGATGCCTACAGGAAGCTGTGTGGCTCTGACATCGAAGAGAGCGTCAAAGGAGAGACCACTGGGAATCTAGAAAATCTGCTGCTCGCCGTAGGTAAGACATGACAGGGTTGAGGAGACCAAAAAGTATTTATTTTTCATGATGATGAAATACAGCAGAAACCATATCAGTCATCACGTCATACCATATTGATATAACAGTGATTAATCTTGTGGTTTTTTGTCCTTTGCAGTCAAATGTGTCAAGAGTGTCCCAGGATATTTCGCTGAAGGCCTGTATAAGTCTATGAGGGTTGGTGTCTTTATTGTAATCATTATATCACATTTTTTACATTTATTTATATTACCCTGTCCACCGGAGTCACAATTTAAACAACAGTCACTCCACCACAACTGGGTCAATAAAGAAAAAGATCAGAAATTATCTAATCAAATGTAGCTTCAGTGACCTGGAAAAAAAAGTAGTATTACAGATATAAATTCATAATTATGAGATAAAATGTTAATTCTATGAAGGAAAAGCAACAATCATAAAATAATGATGTTTGAATGTAAAAGAAGGATACAGGGTTAGTGTAGTATTTTACTGTGATCAAAAGTTGGTGTACTAAAAAAGTACATTTTTATCTTAATTTTAACCACAAAGTTGGACATAGCTATGTGTTTTAAGGCAAATGAGTGTATTTTTAGTCATTTTTGAGAAACTTTTATTTTGGCAGATTTGTTCAGGAACTCATTGGTATAGTATTTTACTGTGATCAAAAGTTGACGTACCAGAAAAGTATACTTTTTCTAAATTTTAACCACAAAAATGGACATAGCTAAGTATTTTAAGGCAAATTAGGGCCTTTTTTAATCATTGTTGAGACACTTTTATTTTTGAAGACTTCTCGAATTATTAGTATCGGATTTTACTGTGATCAAAAGTTGGCGTACCAAAAAACACACACATACTGACACACACAGACACACACACACACACACATACTCACAAATACTAAAACTAAACCAACAAAATGTTTTATTTTTGGTTTCTTTTGGCTCCGTCAAAGTTAAGTTGAGGAAACACATGAATCTCATTCAACACAGTGTTCTGCCAGCAGAGTTTTCTGAGTGTGGGTTCTTCACAGAACAGTTGAACTTCTCCTACAGATCTCCCAGCTACTTCTCTCTCATGTCTGTTATCATTAGTACAATAAATAGACAACACAATAAATAGACACTGAATAGATAGCAATTGGTTTTGATGACGAGCCAGGAAGAGTTTAACATCTTAAAGTGTTGGAGATGTCCTTAAATAAGACATTATTCACAATATGTGCAGTAAACTGTTTACTACCAGGAGGACAAAAATAATTAATCTAATATAATTTAACATACACATTATTATTATTGATTATTATTATCTGAACCATTGCCAGGATCCTAAAAAAAAGTTGACATAACAATAGTCCTCTTTTGCATAATAGGCTGATTTTGCATGCCATTTTGAAGCCTGTTCAACTTCAAAGGGATGCATTTAATTGGATGCACAGAATCTCTGAGCTGAGTTGTGAAAGGGGAAGTCGTGGCTGGGTTAGACAGACAGGTGACTCTCAGGAGTCTTTGCTGATGGTAAACCCGGTTTATATTAACATATATTTTTACTATATGTTTTTAAAAGATAAAGGCATTAGGGCCAAATAAAGTGGTCAAAAGTGTAGATAAATTATTGACACAATGGTGTTTTGTTGCAGCCTAAATGTTGAAAAACAGCGTTGGTCTTCAGACTCACAGATACTCACACATATGGTCAGTTAAAAGTCTCCAATTAACCTAATCCCCAATCTGCACGTTTTTGGCCTGTGAAAGAAACGCAGAGAGAAACCCAGAAAAACAACAAAATATAAACACTTCAGAGATGGAAACTTAAACTAATGAGGATTCAAACACTGTCTGTGAGGCAGCAGAGCAAACCACTACACTCCCTGTGTGGCCAAATAGATCAAATTAATTGTCACGATAAAGTCCAAACAATAAGGTATTGTTAACAGAAAATTCTGTTTGCCTGATAACTGCCAACTTTTATTCAACACCGTGTTTGACTTTGATTATGTAAACTAAAAAAAATGAAGAATGTAAAAAACATGGAGTCAGGAGTTGGATTAAAAACAGCACCTGATATTAACTTGAACTGCTGCTGCATTTGCTTTTGTGTTTAGCGAGCTGGGACTGACGACGACGCTCGGATCAGGATCATGTCAGGATCATGGTGTCCAGGAGTGAGGTGGACATGCTGGACATCAAAGAGTGTTTCAAGAAGATGTACGGACAGTCTCTGTACACCACCATACAGGTGACGGGCACTCTCTTACACACACACACAAACACCAAAAGATACAGAGTTACATTTAACAAAGGCTAAACAAGTTATTATAAAAAATAACAAACATAAATGAATGAAACAAAACAAAAATAAATGAATATTAAATTATATTAAAATAGAGCAAGAAATAATAGCCAATAACCCAGAAATATGTCAAGTTCGCCAACACAATAGCCAAAAGGAAGATAGAAATATGCCAGAAAAGACTGAAAAAAAGAAGAAAGAAGTAGTAGGGTCTTCGTTGTGTGACATTTTAGCACTTCATAGAATCTTTGAGATGGCAGCAGAATAAATAAGAGTCTTCGGCTAAAGGGGAAAGCTAAAAGTGTTTCAATAAATAACTACAAGTAAGTCAAGAGAGACTTACAAGGTTAGAAAATAACATTGAACTTAACGCTGTGGGAAACCATTAAAGTGGCTGGCCTCATAAAACCTGTGCATGCACCAAAATGTGTCTGTGAACCAGACCTTGGACACATACGTGGCCCACGCAATATGTCCTCAACGCTTGACTTCCAGTGTGGCCACATAATCCTACAGTAAGATATGATGTAATCCCCAAACGGCCACATTTCCCTTTCTCTATGTCACCATTGTTCACGCGCCGCAGGTCTCCACAGCCCTGCGCGGCACTGCTTATACTGCTGATGGTCCATTCATGTGAGTGCACTGATGGAGTGGAACGCAGTGATTTACTTTAAATGCCAAGTTCTGCGTGATGAGACTTCTGTGCTTTTCACATGGGCTCATTTGAATGTCTCCATTCTCCTGGGACCAGATGTTCCTGGAAAGACGACTTATGATCCTTCAGCAGAACATCCCCAAAGACAAATACTGAATAGATAAATAAGACATTCAGGATTCAAGACAATTTCAAATTAATGTGGTGAAATACACTAATGAATCAGGATTAATGTTTGCTGCTATCAGTTTCAATTTTTTTCTGTAAGTTTTGTCTTTCATTTTCTGTATATATTCAAATTACATAATCCCAAACAATTAAGAGCTACCCCCCAAAAATAACAGCAGCTGCATTGATAGGTCACAAAGAACAAAAATACAAAATCAAACATCTGGCACTCGGACCTATGATGGCACCTTTTTTATTTATTTATTTATTTTAGCATTCATCCGTTTTGAAATACACAGAAGGCAATATTTCATTTAAAATACGTGGCCTAGTTTAACTTATATTTTCCATTCTGTGTGAGCCAATATTTTTGTGTGCTATGTACAGTATATCAAAGCAGACTTCAGCATTGTTCTTGATATACTTAAGTACGTTTTGTGATATATAAATTCAGATATTTATTTTAGGGTTTCACTTATTATTTTTGGCTTTGGTTTTCCCTGTATTTGATGCTAATGTTTAGCATTTCAAAGGCTAGTTTTAAATATTGCAGCTATCATACCATTTGGTTTGTTACCTTACCAAGTCGTCAGGAACTAAGAGGGTGAAAAAAGGCTTCTGGATCACTGTTGCCAAAAGATTGCAAAAATTAATTTTGCATTTTTAACAATGACAGAAAATGAAACTACTGAGTACGTTATCATGACAGTCAGTCAGCTGAAACCAACAATAACGCTCTTGTAATTCTCTATCACACCTGGAACGATCTGATTAATGTGCGTATCAGTCTAAGTCTCCTGGCAGAAAACATTTTAGACCAGTCATTTCACAGTTCTAAATATTCTGATATTCCTGTCACTTGTCTGCATTCTTCTCTGCACTCTGTCATTGTGTTCTTCTAGTCCTCTGTGTTACTGTTCAGAATGAAATTATGAACAGTGTCTGGGTCGTGATTCAGTTCAGAGCCTGACAAAAAGAGAGTGGCTTTTAAAATGACACGTCTCTAAATGGCACTTTTGTAGTCTGTATTTTTCAAAAGCTATAAATTCTTTCAAAAAAGTATCAACGCGATTGTTGGTTTCACCAAAACAAATATACAGAAAATAAAGCCATGTCCAGTAGTGCGAGGCATTTTACTTAGTTGCCCTTAATTAAAAATAAATCGGCATACTACTTTAAAAACACATTTATAAAACATTTTACGAGTACCAATATTGTTTTCTGGCGTACCACTAGAGGAAGCACAACTATCCGCCATGGTCACATTCACTATACGGGAGAAAAGAAACTTAAATTTATAAAACATTATCAAAATATACATGTTAACTATAGATACATAGATAGATAGATGAATAGATACAGTAGATAGACAGACAGACATTTTCACACAAAAAAATTTTTTTTTTGTGTTCAGTAATATATATATATATATATATATATATATATATATATATAATTGGTGTCAAGAAACTAATAACCTTCTTAATGCTGTGTGTGTTTTGTGCAGGAGGACACCGAGGGAGACTACCAGAAGGCTTTGCTCTACCTCTGTGGAGGGAATGATTAATGTGGTGTGATGGTGTTGCTGAGCAGCAGTGAATGATGAGGCGCTGCCAGACACAGCTACGTGTGAGATGAGTTTATATTCCTCTTATTTCTGAGTAGAAATTGAATTAGTTGAATTAGTTGTCCATGATTTTGACTTATTTACTGCTCGAACAGTTGACGGAGTAAAGTATTGAAGCCACCAGCAGAAGACTCTGTGTGAAGCTGTCATTTATTCCGTCATTGTTCTTCAAATGCTGTAGAGTAATTTACAACTGGATTTTGATTGCCACAGCCTACTGGTCAGCCACAATACTGCATCCTAAACTGCATTTCCGGTTAAAATACGGTGCTCTACACATTCTAGTATATACTGACAGTTTCATGAAGAATGATTTTGTTTCGCTTGGTTCTTTAAATATTAACAAAAATGTGCAAGAAAGGTAAGGAACCACATGTGAGAAATGTTTGGCCTATTTTGATCAATAGTTGTATAAAAAAAATTCTTTAGATGCTATTTAAAAACTTTATTCACATGCAGTAGTATTAGGCCCTGATACCTTGTTGTAGTACACTTATCGTGTCTTAAATGCAGCCCAGAAAAAAACAATGTACAAATTATGAAACCCTATGAGCCCTCTCGCTGTCATTAATTACAAATTAGTTGCTGATCCCGTACTTAACGGCAGTCCAACTGTCAGTGATTAATAAATCAAATCAAACCAAAAAAGTCACTCGAAGTTCTTTAACTGCTAGGTCCTTCGATGGGAGACGATCCCATGTTGTTGGAGTTTAGAACACAAGGGGGCAGCAAAGATAGTTTTTACAGTAATGACACGACTTTATAATTTTACTAGCTGATAACATTTTGAAAAACTGCGGAAAATACATAAAAAACAAACAAACAAAAAATATGGCTTATTGTATATGGTTTCTTTTTATATGACAAACTATTAATTGAAATTAATTAAAAATTGCAATTTTGTGCTACAGTTTAGGTGGCTTGAACTTAATTACATAGCAAATCCAACTTGTGTGTTACAATATATGTTTAAAACTCATCTTAGTATTACAGTGCATTCGTTTAACATAATAGATACATAATATTAATAACACAAGCTCCAGCATTTCAGCTCTATAGTGCCCAGTAATGCTGTTCTCCAAAGATATATATCAAAATAATGACATTTTACCGTAATAGCCTTAGAGCTTAATATTCAGATTAATAGATCCCGATAATCATCAAATGGTTTCTACATGACACATCCTGTCAGAAACTACGCCTTTTCTTGGTGGGACATCATGTTTGAAACAAAAACACCTGATGGCTCAGGATGTTTGAAATGTTTTCATATGTTGGCATGTTTCAACGGCTCCATCTGGAGACATGAATACCCTACAGAACTCACCTCACAAGGACAAATTACAGTGATAAACCCTTCACTCTTTAGTTAGACGGAACCCCAACTCCCCAAGGCCTTAGACTGAGAAACTATATAATTTAGTTAGAAATGTACTAAATGTGTAAATCTGCTTTTAACATAGTGTCCACTTCATCCACAGAGTGACTGTGGAGACTTTCAAAATAGACAAATACAGATATTTATAATCTGCAGCGATGTCAGATATTAACAATATGCAGATATATGTTATGCAGATATTCTTCAAACACTTAATTTCAGACATCAATCAAAAGTGAAATAGGCCTGGTAGTATTTATTTGTTTATCTGAAGAAACCACTGTGTTGTGTTGCTGGAATCAGCACTCTCTATACAATTCCCTGATTATTAAAATAGATTAATAAAATAAGCTGTAAGGCTGCTATCTAGTGACTTTCACTTTAATATACAGCCGTTTATCCCCAAAAGTATTTTTAGAACAAACACCATTTGACGAAATCAGGCATTGAGTACATATATTAAATATTTATGCTAATATCAGCCAATAATATCGGCTGGCTGATATTATCGAACATCCCTAATAATCTCAAAAGGGACTACAAGCTTAACTTGTGTCACTTCTTGAGTTTCTCTGATATTTTAATGACAAACCATTAAGACATGGCTCAGAATGGCATTTTTACTGATAAATGTAACAACTTCCATCCCTACACTACTCCCAACACCTCAACCGCCTCGGCCTCTGCACAATGATCAGTACATGATGTGAATGTTTGGCTTGCTGAGTTTGTTAATCAATATAAGTATGACTCAGTGCTTACGTGGCTGAGAGCTGATACCTGACGGTAATAAATCACTTGCTGTGCAGTAAACAAGCCTGCAGTACCAGGGAGAAAAATGAAGAAATGATCTTTTCATCTCAGTGATTTCTCTTGACTGTAATTTCTAACACTGACTAAATGACAAGTTATAAATATTTAGATCTGAAGGAGATATTATGTACTCTTATTGCTCAAAAGTAGAAGATATCAAAAGTCAAATATCATTGATGCTTTGTTTAAAAGTTACTCATTAATTGTAAATGAACATCTTGTTGTCAATGGCTCTGTGGTAAGGTTTCTTATTATTATTTATTATTATTATTCCTATTGATGGTTTCTGTATGACAGTTGAAAATCATTGTATTTTAACATCTAATAAGTTTAAACAGGACCAATGAACACAGAAACTTATACAATCTTAAAAATCAAACTCAATGCTGCCTGTCACCTTTTTATTGAAAACACAAGGCAAAACATGTATACATGCAGCAACTGCATGAAATCCAATTAGGCTTGTGAACAAAAAATGTACAAAAATGTATCCTACAGACGCAATATTTTTTATTAGTTTATATACCGTTAAATACATGGAGTTATCCAAAGTTTCTTTAATAAACATTTATTTAAAGCTAATAAATTTGTAGTCTTTGAAGTATGCTGTATTTGAAGTAAAGTACCTTTTCAAGTTTGAGAGTTTGTAGAATGTCAAAATATCACCAAAACTAAAGCTATAGTATTACTATCACGAAAAAATGCAAAAAAAAAAAAAAAAACAAAGTCCCAGAAATATGTTTAAATGCAAGTCTATGCCCCAAAATATGCTGCCAAGTGAATAATTTGTGCTAAAGACTTCAAAATCTAACAAATCTGAACATGTCAAAATATCACCTCTTGAAATCTTGGCCTAAAAATGTAATAGTAAGGGAGAATTGTGATTCGGAAAATGAGGAACATGTTTTGCTAGCAACAGAGAAGTTTTGATGACTAAGCAAATGTTTTCTCCATAAACCTAAATAGACATTATAGTGTATTATAAGTGTATTTTTCTCAAAAACAATTCAAACATTTCTTTATGTGGAATACTAACTGCATTGATATTGACACTCAACGCTGTCATGTATGCAGTGTGACAGGAGAAAGCACTGGTACGTGTCTTGCATCATACAAAATAAAACGTTATAGAAAATCATCTTTCCATGTGTAAAACGTAATTTAACTATATTGAGCAAGATGAGAACTTCATTCTTGGACATTTGGAAAGTAGTATAAAATGCAAAATTACTAGTCAATTAAAGTAAAGTAAATTACTAGCTTTCTTATTATGTTTTATTTTACTAAAATGCATGTTTTTATTACAAAAATCATTACTGCCATGGTGCACTAATGATTTCATGAGAAATTTTTCCCCAAAGTCCTGCTTAGTCACAATAGAATCAGAGGATATTTTTTCTCATTCCAACCTAACAATAGAATATTTGTATATTTTTGTTCATTTCTATCAGCTTTTCTGTAATCTACATAGAGCTGTTTGTGGCACAATCACTGGACCTCACACAAACAAAGCCATTCATATGGAATGTTTGATCCAAATCTCTTTATAATCACTCATACAAGAGGTGTGTTGGACCAAGGCCCACTTTTTTAGCCAATCAGGAACAACGGAAATTCAGGCCACTGAACAATCTGTCCTGTACTGCAGGGATTCCTGTAGGAATACTGTGGAACAGACAGGAGATGATATACAGTAAAGACAACACCTCATATGAAAGTTAGCTGAAATGAATCAAAGCCGACAGAAGAAAAGTCGGTCCTTGTCATTGATTACTTCCTTTTATTGATCAAAATGACTTAACATACAAAGTTAACCTTATCGTCTATTTTCCTCATTGTTCTTCGTGCAGGCGGCTATGTATAAAGTACTGAATCCATTTAGCCCACTTTAGAAGACTTTTGGGAGAATTCCTCTCTATCGGTAACGTTAAGTAGAACCACGGAGGAAGCCGTGTTACCGGAAGTCGAATCATGCCACCACTTGCCGCAACAAAATCTTATAGCGCCCTGAAGACACTAGTTCTTTATAAAATGCATCTATATAAAATACGAGCAGGATGTTTTGCGACAAACTTTTTGCTGTAAGTTTAACGTAACTCGTTCTTAATTATGAAGTTGAGATTGTGTAGAGCCCAGACGTCTAAGCGGAATTCAATTTCTGAAGGACTTTTTGTGGTTCAACTTACCTACCACACCTACCACACTGTAATCATGAAAAGGGAACAGCATGACTTAGTTGACTTACTTATGTAGTGCAATCATTGTGTAACTTAAGCTGTATTTGATGTGTTGTAAACCTTCCAATAAAAGGAACTTGTCTGACCATTTTGTGCTTTCATTTCCAGATATTTGAGCAAATAATGAAGAATATGGATGGAGTTTCTCGTTGCATTTTAGGGTGTGCATTGTCAAAGTCAAAGGTTATATTAGTTTAAAAAAAACTTTTTTTTTAGTTATGTAAAAAACTAAGTAGTAAAAAGTAAGTTTAAAAACAAACCTAATACTTCCACAATGAACAGATCAACAACAGTGTTTTTAATCTTAATTTTGAAATGTTCATATAAAATACTTTTTGGAGTTTTAAACACAATATTCACTTGGCAGCATGTTTCAAGGCATTTTAGGGACTTTTTAATTTAATTTTGTATTTTTTCGTGATGTAAGGCTATAGTAAGGCATGTTTTTGGTGATATTATGAAATATTCATATAAAATACTTTTTGGACTTTTAAACACAAAATAATCACTTGGCAGCATGTTTTAGGACCTATTCTTGCATTTTAAGCCATTTCTGTGTGTTTTTATTTTTTTGCATTTTGTCACGATGGTAAGGCTATAGTAAGGCATGTTTTGGGTGATATTTTGAAATATTCAGATGAAATACTTTTTGGAGTTTTTAGCAAAACTTATTATATTGGCAGCATGTTTTGGGGCATAAACTTGCATTTCAAGTCAGTTCTGGGACTTTTTATTTTTATAGATTTTTTTTCACGATGGTAAGGCTATAGTAAGGCATGTTTTGGGTGATTTTTGAAATATTCATATAAAATACTTTTTGGACTTTTAAGCACAAAATAATTACTTGGCAGCATGTTTTAGGACGTAGTCTTGTATTTTAAGGCATTTTGGGACTTTTTATTTTTATGGATGTTGTCCATAAAAAAGGCATGTTTTTGTAAGGCATGTTTTGGGTGCATATGAATTTTTTCACTTACTATAGCCTTACCATCGTGACAAAATCCATAAAAATAAAAAATCCCCAAAATGCACTAAAATGCAAGATTAGGTCCTAAAACATGCTGCCAAGTGAATATTTTGTGTTTAAAACTCCAAAAAGTATTTTATATGAATATTTCAAAAATCACCCAAAACATGTTGCATGACACATGTCAGACTCAAAGTTCAGATAAATACATTTAACTGGGAAAACAGTTCAGGACATGATAGTTAAAATTTTGCAAGGTTTAACAAGACACCAAGTTTACAGTGATCTTCTGTGGTCCATATATGTCCTGTAAGTCTGGCACAATAATAATTTAATGATCCAATAAATGAAAGCAACAATGTTGTTCATGAAACTAAAGTCCTTTGGAAAAATAAGAACATGTAAGTGCAGCTTTCAGAACCAAAACAGTTTTGACATCTCATTAATAGTCAGGGATTTTAACCTGCTAC